CTGTTCCCTGTTTTCTCCCTCTTCCAGTGTCCAACCCATTTGCCTTTCTGAATGAGGAATGATCCTATTACGAAGGGTCCTCCTTCTTGATTAGCTTCTTTAGGTGTACAGATTTTTTTACTTATAAGTGAGTATATACCATGTGTGTCTTTCTGCTTCTGAGATACCTCATTCAGGATGATCTTTTCTAGTTCCCATGATTTGCATGCAAATTTCATGATTTCCTTGTTTTTAATTGCTGAGTAGTATTCCATTGTGTAAACGTACCACAGAGGGACTCTGAAAGACTCTACCCTGCAGGGTATCAAAGCAGAGGCTGAGACTTACTCTTAGCCAAACTTTGGGCAGACTGCAGGCAATCTTATGAAAGAAGGGGGAGATAGAAATACATGGAGGGGACAGGAGCTCTACAAGGAGAGAAAAAAAAATCTGGGTACAGGGGTATTTTCTGAGGTGGTACTCCAACCAAGGACCATTCATGGAGATAACCTATAAACCTTGCACAGATGTAGCCATGGCAGCTCAGAGTCCAAGCGGGTTCCCTAGTAATGGGAACAGGGACTGTTTCTGACATGAACTGATTGGCCTGCTCTTTGATCACCTCCCCCTGAGGCGGGTACAGCCTTACATAGCCACACAGGAAGACAATGCAGCCAGTCCTGATGAGACCTGATAGGCTAGGGTCAGGGAAGGGGAGAAGAACCTCCCCTATCAGTGGACTGTGGGAGGGACATGGGTGGAGAAGCGGGAGGGAAGGTGGGATTGGGAGGGGACAAGTGAGAGAGCTACAGCTGGATACAAGGTGAATAAACTGTAATTAATAAAAAAAAAAAATAAAAATAAAAGAAAAATCCTGCCAGGCAGTGGTGGCACATGCCTTTAATCCCAGTCCTTGTTTGGGAGGCAGCGGCAGGCAGACCTCTATGAGTTTGAGGCTAACTGGTCTACATAATGAGTCCAGGACAGCCAAGGCTACATAATAGAAACCATGTCTCGAAAAAGAAAAGAAAAAAAAAAAAAAAGAAAAATCCTTCACGGCCCAACTGGGTTTAGTTGATTCCAGATGTAGTAGGGTTGATAACCAAAATCAGCCATCAGAGCTGCATAATGAAGATCCTGTTTCGAAAAAAAGCCCCCCACTCCACACAGAGACTTCTCCTCCTCCTCATTATTATTTTCTCCTTCCTTTTCATCCCATAAAAGAAGCCTTAAGCAGTAACTTGGGGCCTTTGAATATTATCTCAAAACTGCCAAGTGAATTCAGGAAGGGAAGTCCTTCTGGTTTAAAAATGGAGAATCAAGCTAGGTGTGGTAACACATGCCTTTAATGACATCACTCAGAACTGTCATTCAAGGCAAGTGGATTTCTGTGTATTCAAGGCCAACCTACTCTACAGAGTGAGTTCCAGGGTAGCCACAGCCACACCGAGAAACTTTGTCTCGAAAGTAAAAGGCTATTCTAATTTGTTCCATGAAGTAAATTCTATTTGTGGAACATTATGTTTATGTAAGTGTGAAGGGATGGCAGTTCAGGTTTTCATTCTAATTCAGGAGACAGCTTTCTTGTTTTTTTTTTTTCTTTTATTTCCTTCCTGGCAGCACATACATGTTTTACTTAGATTTGCTTTCTTAAAAATCATCTGTCACATTTTTCTTTACACACACACATACACACACACACACACATACACACGTGCACACGTATTGTTTTTGTTTTTTTAAGATAGGGTTTCTCTGTGTAGCCTTGGATGTCCTGGACTCACTCTGCAGACCAGGCTGGCTTTGAACTCACAGAGATCTGCCTGCCTCTGCCTACTAGAGTGCTGGGATTACAGGAGTGCACCACAGCACTCAGTTCACACATATATTCTTATAATTCCAATTACAGTTGAATTTTCTTTCTTTCTTTTATTTATTTATTTTTTGCAGACAGGATTTTTTTTTTTTTTTTTCTTTTGTGTAGGCTTGGCTGTTCTGGACTTTGTAGACCAGGCTGGCCTGGAACTCACAGTGATCTGTCTGCCTCTGCCTCCCAAGTGCCGGGATTATAGGCTTGCAGGCATGCACCATTGAACCCGACTTTCTTTCTTCCTTTCTTTCTTTCTTTCTTTCTTTCTTTCTTTCTTTCTTTCTTTCTTTCTT